ATTTCCAGGGCCCCTGCTGGGATGAGGCTGAATTTCCGCGGCCCCTGCTGGGATGAGGCATTCTTCCATAAGCAGTACGCCCTGGCAGCCACATGTGGTCTCTGTCCCTTTCTGTCTGCTGTGGTACACGTCACTGACATGGCTTGATAGCATGTGGCACTTACACCGGTTCATGTCTCTTCTGTTCAGGTAGAGACAGTTGATGCTGATGAAGCTCAGAGCGCCCCTCCCGCTCCTTGAAGGCTTCCCTTCTGTTGTATCTGAACATGGCTGCACAATATTAGGCGGAACCAGCTCTGACAGCTCCCTCTAGCTCTGAGTATTTATTATTAGATTTCTCATTCACACCACTTTGTAGAAGATGCACGTTCCCCAGGAACACAAAGTGAGGTGGGAAAAAGAAGGGGAGGTTTCAACAGCATAAAAACCGTGTGCTCTGGGTGTTTCCTGGGAGGATTTCTAGCTTGCTTATACTTACTCTAGCAAACAAGGGTCGACCATATAAAATGTAAATTCTGTAGCAGATTCTTCTAAGCTTCCCCAAACACTGCTTGCTGTGACACAAATGCGTTCCAGTTTGCACTGCAGAAGGGAAACCCTCGGAAGCACCATTTCTGAAACTGAAGATTTCCATCCCACTTCCCTTGTCACAGTTCTCGTCATTGTGGGGATGAAAATGATTTTGCCTTAGAACCACCATCTTTTCTACATTTGAAAAGAGGCTTAAATAAACACCAATCCCAAGAGGTAGGCTGACCTTACAATATAGTATCACCCAAAACCAGGATATTTTTGAGAGAGAAAGAAGATGTTAATAATTCCTTTAGGACGATAGGGTAAACTGAGACCATTAAGGAAACTGAGATGTTAGGTGACCAAGAGAGACCAAGAGACAGATGTAAGTATAGGTATTGTTCACCCACAACTCAACTGGGCAAATACTACCCAATTTTTGCACTTTCTAGCCTCTAACAGGAGAAGTACATCACAGGGACATAGACATTTTGCTAATGTTCGTGACTTCTCGTGCTACGCGCCGGGACTACACTAGTCCTTACTTCATCTCCTTGACAACCCATGAAGTCTGATGGGATTTTTTGTTTGTTTGTTTGCTTATTTCTCTAGACAAACAGGCTTAGGGAATTTACTATATTGCCAAGGGTCTCAACAGAGAGAAGTAAATGACACAGCCAGACTTTGAACCCAAAGCCTTAAGCCCAGACTTTTAATCATTTTGTTGTCCGCCTCGTTGGAATTCTTCTCTGCTGTCCCAGGGGACTGGAACTAAAAACACACACACAGGCTACCCCTGGTGGTAATAGATAGGTTAATAAATATTTCTTGCTCAGATAGAGTGAATGCAAATGCCTCCAACCTGTCCCTTGGGACCTCAGCGGTTGAGGTAAAATTGTTCCCCTTGGGGCTTGTTTGCCACAAGCCCTTCCCCAAACCAAACCCACTTATAAGCTGTAAACACACACACACAACCCACAAGAATTCTTTCCCCTTGACACACAAAGACCAAATCTGACAGGATCCTGAGCTCTTTCTCCGGATCCCTGTCTCTCCCGGGAAAGAAGGCTGCAAGCTGTGTCCCTGCTCCCTGGCAGGAAACTCAGCAAGGTGGGTTTGCAGAGCCTGGGCTGAGGCAGGTGCAGGCATTTCTGTGGAAAGAGAAACAGGGGCCTGTTTCGGGGCCTGTGGCCTCTTCATAAATAAAACCTCCCTTCAGAACTGGAGCTCTGGGGCTGACACAGCCTCCAGAATGCAGCTGCTCAGAGACACACTCCATCACCGGGAGCTTCGAGGGGACCCCATGGGGAGTCAGGACAAGGTCGCAAAGAGCAAGATGTTGAGTGTTCTCTGTCATAGCATCGTACCGTGCTTCAGAAAAGACCACAGAAGACAAGTTGATAATGACTAGGGAGGAAGTGTGACAAAAAGGAAAGACAGCTGAGGTTAAGTTTGAAAATCCAGCCAGGCGCGGTGGCTCATGCCTGTTATCCTGGCACTCTGGGAGGCCAAGACAAGCCAGAGCTCAGGAGTTTGAGACCAGCCTGAGCAAGAGCGAGACCCCTATCTCTACTAAGAATAGAAAACTAGCCCGGCATTGTGGTGGTCACCTGTAGTCCCAAGCTACTGGGGAGGCTGAGGCAAAATGATCTCCTGAACCCATGAGTTTGAGATTGCTGTGAGCTCTGAGGCCATGGCACTCTGCCCAAAGAAACAGAATGAGACTTGGTCCCCCAAAATAAATAAGAATAAATAATTAATTAATACATAAATTTGAAAACCACGGGTACACTGCCTTTGCGTCACGCCAGTTAAGTGGTCTGTTTGAGACTGCCTCCTACAGTGTGTACAAAGGCTCAGATGAATTCCACGTCCTCGCCAGGCGGGGGTTCTGGAGTAGGGTTTATGGGGAATATTTCTAAAGCAAGGATCAGCAAGAGAAGGCAGAAGTGCTCCCTGTCGTGCCCAGGCATGGGGGCCTCGGTGCCAGGCTAGGCACACAGTAGGTCTGAGCTCAGGCTAGGCACACAGTAGGTCTGAGCTCAGGCAGGGCAAGCCCCTGCTCCCTGTCGTGCCCAGGCATGGGGGCCTCGGTGCCAGGCTAGGCACACAGTAGGTCTGAGCTCAGGCTAGGCACACAGTAGGTCTGAGCTCAGGCGGGGCGAGCCCCTGCTCCCTGTTGCTCTTTCTGTTAGGGTGAGTCTGAAAGCAACTTGGCAGAGGGTGACGATCTGATCATAGGAGTTTGCGGCCAGGTGGGCTGGACTGGCTGCTGGCTGGGAGCCGAGCGTGAGCACCAGCTGCCCTGCACCTGGAGGGGGTCCAGGATTCTGCCCTGGAGGAGGAAATCTTAAGTCTCACAGGAAGGGAGCTTGGATGCAAACCCTCTGTCTGCTGGGAGAGAGAAGAGCTTTCGGTAGCAGCTGGTATGTCCAAGCAGCCCACGGAGAATGTATGAATTATTTTTTTGAGAATCCTCTCATCTCACACCAATATACTCACATCGTTGACTATTAGCCCCTCTGTGCCAAGTGTACAGCAATTATAGAGGAATAAGGACACAGCAGCCTCAAGCTGTGTGATCCTAAGAGTTACGTGACCCACTTTTGGTGAAGATTTTACACTTTCTGCAGGAAACATTTAGT